TTTTTTTTTTTTTTTTTTTAAAAAGGAACCAAGGTACCTGGACACTGAGCTCAGGGTGCCAGTCCTAAGAAGAAAGAAACAAAATAGGTCACATATAAAGGCTCAGAACACAGACTGGCTTCAGCCTGGCCCTCAGCACCCGGGCAGCTGGAGCGGGTGAGCGAGGGGGTGCCATCCAAGGGAGGGCTCTGGACGTGCGCGGGTCTCTAGGAGGAACGAGTTGTTCACCGGTGGTGCTTTAACTCCTGTCAGTCGCCGGTTATTTGCTGTAAAGCTCACACTCATCACGGGCCGCGTGCAATGCTGTCATTAGCACTTTTTTGAAATTTAGAAAAAAGGCTCCTCTTATTCGAGAAGAACAGTTTCACATCTGCATACATGTTTCATAGTAATAGTTACAGCAAGTATAAAGCCAGCCTGTATAAATCTTACTATTGAACCGAAAATACTGTTTTTGAGACCTCAGCATCACATTTTCTAAGATATAATTCATTTCAAAATCTTTCCGTTTTGCTTCCTTAGAAACTCTTATTTGTGAGAGTGTCAGTCTTCTTGCTTCTGTGTCACTCTCTTTGGAAATGGTCACTGGATCTGACAGCTTCCGGGTGACATTGTAGATTTTTATCTTAGAACCCAGCTTAATGTTTTACAGTACTTGGCTGGTAACAAGCCACAAATTAATAGCACTTAATCTTTGCACTGACAAAACTTCCAGAAAAACAGGAGCAATATATAGCAATGTGATGTTTACTTTATATATTATTGATGGCAAATAAATATTAACAATTATATAGTGATTCGTGTCATAAAGAAGCACTGATTAAATAGGGAAGAGACAGTAACTTTCTGATGAACGACCTGAACTAGCTAATGTAGCCAGTCTACTAATCCAATAGAATTTTTTTGTAATTTAAAAAAGTGTTTCATTTCAGACGGAAAAAGTTACTATTTAGAATGCACAATTTATGTTAGCTGTTAGGCTGATAAACTGTTTCAATTATAAAACTGGTTCCCCCTTTGTAATACTGATGGGAATGAGGCGTCAACTTTTTGAAAAAATCACTTTGTTTCCATCAAAAAGTTGTTCTAATGGGTTGATTTTTAACAAGAAATGTTTCAGCCATCCGCTAGAAACCTTGTAACAAACACATAAGCTGCCCTTCTTTGGAGTCAACCTATATGAAAAAACCTGCAAATAATGACATTGTCTCTGTGTGGAAGTGGTCCCTTAGGTGCCCTGTCACCCTGCACACCCTGCACTGGCCGTGTTACCCAAACTATAATGTCCAGGCCACTGGGCCGGACACTGAGCTCCATCCTTGAGTGACACCTGGAGGCCCCGAGCCTTGTGTGTCTTGTCCTTTAGCATCGCCGATGGCGTGACCTCAACCCCAACCTTCCATCGAGGCCTCCGGCCATCTCCTGACTCGCCTTCGCCGTGCCTGAGACCCACGCCTCTCCAACAGCAGCGCTCGCTTTTCCCCAGCAAGTTGTTTCTTTTTTGAGGAAACTTATTTATTTCACAAGTAACATGTGTTTTAGGAAACCCAGATGTACGAAAGAGAGGAAATGGAAATCACCTATAATCTCACCCCCTCAGAACTCACAGCAAACACTGCATTACATTTCCATCTGGTTTTGTTTCTGGGGTGTAGTGTATAATTTTGACATAAATTACACCCTTCTGCATGTGTTTTGTAACCCTCTTTTTAATGTGCTCTGTGACCACATCTTTGTGTCGGTAAATATACTCCGCCAACATTATTTTAGCCGTGGATCATCGTTTTTTTCTAGGCAGATGCACTTTAGTTCGACATTCAGTTACCAACAAGGTTTTTCTAATTCAGTCCGACCCAGCCCGCCATCTGGCACAATACCTGGCACATAGTAAGTACTCAAACATTTGTCGAGTGAATCTTTTCACCCAATCAACATAAAAAGGGTTAACCGGATGGGCCGAAACCGCCCTAACCGAGTGTCACTCCCAGCTCTGCCGCTTTCTGTTGTGTGGCTGTGGACAGGTTACTAAATGTTTTGGGGGTTTTTCTTGGTGCCAGTAAAAACAGTTCCTGCCTCCCGGGGTTGTCATGAGGATTAAGTAAGCGTGTGCGTGGAATCCTTAGCGTGGAGCCTGCCTGCTGTTGGCACTCAGTAGGTGGTGGCCGCAGTTACTTCTCTCCCAAAGCGTGGGCGCTGCTGTGGGCGCACCTTTGCCAGCTCCGCTCCCCAGGCTCGGCTGGAGGTCCCTCTCTCCTCTTTGGGACATTTCAGAATCTTCCAACTCCTGTTTCTGCCCCCACCCCGCCGGAAAAGGGAGGGATCTGAAGTTCTGGACATTTCTGTCGCCTTACTCAGTTCCACAGCACTGCCTGACTTTCTGAGCACCTGCTCTGTGCAGAACACAACGCGAGGCTTGGTGGTCAGGGAAAGGACTTGCGCCCACAGACTCATTCTTTCAACAAACACTAATGACACATGCAGCCGACAAGGGCCCGTTTCCTTCATTTCAAAGGACTCGCTCGACACAAACCAGTGAGAGAAAAGGCAGCTCAACAGAAAGATGGGGAAAGGGTTTGAGCAGGCGGCTCACCGAGAAGTAAAGGCACCAGGTAACTAACGAGGTGATCAGCGCAAGTCTTCATTAGAGAAATGCAACTAGGAAGGCAGTGAGCCCGGCCGGTGGGCCCGCGGCCAGAGATCCCGGGCACCCGGGATGCACACCCGGGTTCCAGGTGCCATCCCCCGTCGGCGCGCGTGTGGGAAGCCACTGACCGATGTTTCAAATCAATGGAAACATTCTTGGGTGTGGACTGCAAAACATGTTTAGAAAAATCTTTATTATAAAATACAGAAAAACAAATGCATAGCTTAGTGAATCCCACTCTCCAGCGCTCTCTCCTGAGTGACGTATATGTGTGGAAATTTGGTGGGGAGCATGTCGGATGCATTTGCAGGAGCCCCAGCTTATCCTTCCAGACCAGCGGGTGCCCCTTTCCCTGGGAAGCTGCCCTGGCCCTCGGGGCTGAGTCAGGTGCCACTCCGATGGCTTTGGACCTGCCCCGTTCATTCTGCCAGGAACGGTGGGTGCCCGCTGTGCCCACGCCCACACCCCTCGCGCTCCCTGAGCTTTGGGCGGGAGAAGCCGTGTTACTCGCTGTTCTTTGTGTCTCTAGCACTTTGCACAGTGTGGGGTTCACAGTAACTGCTCAATACATGCTCGTTGAACGAGTGAAAGGATGCTATCTAGTTAAACCCATTTGAGAGGTGTGTAAACGGCACCCCCTACTGGTAGATGGTGGCTTTAACACGACATTTTCGATTCTGAAACATTTTGCACTAGAAATTAGGAGGCTCAAGTTTTCAAATTAGGCTTTTTTTTTTTTTAACTGGAGAGATTGTTTCATTCTTCTGGCCCTGGGGTCGCTTATCCTTTAATAAATATAAAAANACAAATTAGGCTTTTTTTTTTTTTTAACTGGAGAGATTGTTTCATTCTTCTGGCCCTGGGGTCGCTTATCCTTTAATAAATATAAAAATAATGTTAGTATTCTTTATGTTGAGTTTTGAGGCTCTTAGGTGAAGCACCTAGAAATGTAGAGACGCCACAGAGACGCTAGTTTTGAATAAGTTAAATAATCTGTCTGAAGGGCACAGGGAAGCAAACAAGCCTTTGTACACGTCGGGCAGGGCTGTTCCCATCTCGATGAGCCTCCCTCATCACTGATTTGCTCATGAAGAGCACAGCTCGGGGGGTGATGTGGGGTGGAGGGAGAGCCAGGATCATAGCCTCCCACCTGGTTCTGGGCATTTCTGCCCACGCTTGCTTCTCTTTGCGGTTACGTGGTTCTGTTTTCCTTGTTAACGTGTCACTCAGCACCCGTGTGACAAACCAGCTGACAGCTGTGGGGCCTCAGGTGCGGGGGATTGGCCTCCATTAAAATCTGGTTTTCTTCTCTCCGCAGCAAACCCAAGGAGCCCGTCTTCAGCGCAGGTAAGTCTGGCCCACCCTGTGGCTGCCCCCACTCACCTCCGGAACTGAGGACAGATGAGAAGCGGCTGTGTCCAGGGCCCGCTTTCTACACGCAAAACTGGGGTGTCTGTATGGCAGAGATGGCTGTCCGCCTGACCCTGGAGGGCCTTTGGCTCAGATCATACAGAGACCCCCATAAAATGGTCATAAAAACTAAACCGTTACTGACCCCCTTTAAAACCCAATTTAAGGCAGGTCCATAGGAGGGAGGAGATGCCACCGCGGGTACCGCAGGGGGTTCTAGGTTCTCAGACCTCTGCCGCCTCTGTTCGCACCCACAGGGCTCCTGCCACCAACGTTTGCCTTTCTCTGGAAAGTAGCGTTTCTGATGCATCAAGTTATAACTTGTCTAAAAGTAGCTTTTTCCCTTTTTCTCTCTTTGATTTCCTGATCTGCAAACTAATAGTTCATCTAGACCTTTCTGTGGATCTTTTTTTTTTTTAATACATTTCATAATAAGGTAGATGCTATTTTTAGGATATTCACCTTATTTTAAAAGCACATTTAAAATGCAGAGTAATTGACACACGTGTCATTGGGTAAGCCCATTCATTTGGTTTCAGTTTTCCCAGCTTTTCCCTTCGATTCGGAATTGAGACATAGAGAATTCAGAGTTTCGGGTGTACCAGCGGGTGCTCCTGTATTTATTTCGTCGTCAGGAAGCATGAAATTGCTCACTGACAAGGTCGCGACCGTAAGCCTGCAGGGAGAGCTAGGCTTGCCTGTCGGGACCCCCGAAATGTGCCCGGGATGTGCGCCGGGGCGGGGGGCAGGCAGTGCCCCGGGGGTGCTAGCGAGCTGCGCAGCAGGCCGGCCGGCCCTGCAGTTCTCCCGTCTCTCTGTCCAGCCCTTCTGTCTCTGTCTCCGAAATCCCAAGGGAAGCGCCGGGTGACGCACTGCAAAGGTAGGCCACCTTTCTGCAGCCTTGTAGCTCTCTGAGCGACGCCGTGGCCCGGGCTCCAGAGATGTTTTCATGCGGGAGAACGGATCCCCTCCTCGTATGAAAACGTTTTTGCGACCCCCACCCCTTGGCTTGAAGTTGAGCCCCTGAGCGTTGACTCAGGTGGGTTTTACTAAGTAGCTGCCATTTGGGTTTTGACTGATCATTGGCTGATTACAGGAACTTTCAAAAAAATCTATCAAAACCTCAAGAGAGCTACAGGTCACGCCCTGGGTGCCCACCGTGTGAAGTGGTCCCCGCACCACTGCTGTTACCCTAACATGCCTGGAAAACCACTGCTTTCCCTGCCACGCTCTGACTTCAGGTGTAGGGTGTCCGAGTTACCTGTGCAAAACCCCGCCAAGGCCAAGTTCGGTGCCTCCTGCCCAGTCCGGTAGTTGAGGTTGTGCGATAAGGAAGCCTCAGCCGTAAGGACTGGGTCAGCGGCGCCCAGCGACGGGATGCGCAAGGGGATGGACCTGGGTTGCATTCGTACACGTTGGTTACATACGGCCACGCGGGCTTTGCGTGTGCGGTAGGAGTGGCCCCGTGTTCTTCTACCCCTAGCCTGCAGCCTGGTTCCTCTCCTACAAGGAGAATGGACGGAACCACTCCCAGTTAATTTAAGCTCTGCCGTGCTGGCCTCTCTTTT